ACAAAATTAACAAAGTTAATCCTTTTAATTTTTCGGAATATATTACAAAAATCTAACAAGTTATACCAAGTTACCCCTTTTGTTTCCGAATACGATTCCAAGTTATACCATATTACCCCTTTTGTTTCCGAATTCAATTCCAAGATGTACCTTAGTAAAACTAGCAGGTTATACCAAGTTATATCTTGTTATTTAACCGATTACTAAGTTACAAACACTAGCAAGTTATATCAACATTTACCAACTTTTGTTTCCGAATTGAATTCCAAGATGTACCTTAGTAAAACTTGCAAGTTATACCAAATTATTTAACCATTCAAAATTTTACAAAACTTGCAAGTTATACCAAATTGCACTTAGTTGGCCACAGTAATGAGTCATACCGTGGAATGGCTAGAGTCCGACAAAGTTTGTTCTGAGTCATTTACAAGTGGTTCACTGTCATTCGAACTATCAGGGACTCCGACTTCGCGTTGTCCTTGAGATGTTTTACCAACATAACTTGCGTTCTTCGCGCGGCATTTATCTTCGAAAAACCAAACAAACCCAACATTATAACTTCCGAAATCGGTTAAGCATTTAAACCTAATTTCATCGCGAATTCTACTCGGATTTGAATATAGAAAGTAGATTCGGACTTACCTTGGAATTAGATTTCGTTTTACGAACAATTATCCTTGGTTGTCCTTGGTTGAACTTGGTTGAGAAGAAGCGAAGAGAGGGAGAGTTGAATGTTGTCGCGGACTTGTGTTTTTTTTTAAAGAAGTTGATTCGATTTCGGGTTAAAGAGGAGAGGGAGAGTGAAATCCGAATTAAACGGGTTTGGTTGTGGGTTGATCGAATTCTGTTGGTTGTACTTGGTTGTACTAGGTTGAACTTTATTAAGAAGAAGCAAAGAGAGGGAGGGAGAGTTCGCAGACTTGTTTTTTTTTAAAAGGAAGTTGATTCGTGTCGGGTTAAGGAGAAGAGGGAGAGTGGGATCCGAATGGGTATGGGTTGATCCAATTCAGGGTGGTTGGATCTGTAATAAAGACATTTCATTAANNGTGTTTTGGTATTTTTCTTATTTTTCGATTTTTAAACAGAAAAATTAAATCAAAAATAAAATATTTTTATTCACAAGTCTATATCTGAATTGAAATCTAACCTAGGAGGTTATATGAGGACATCACCCATAAAAAAACGATAAGAAAAGAAGAAAGATATATAAAAGGATACAAAAGTCTTTTACTCTTATGAAAGTGTCCAAATAGTAAAAAGTGTGTGTTTGGACCCATGTTCAAAACGCGGCCGCGGAGGCCACCCAGGCACCGATTATACGTTCGGCGGAGGAGTACCACCGGGATTATGTGCTAATCCGAAAAAACAATAATACCTCGAATTCTTTTGCTTTTTTGCTCGAAATGTGATGTTTGATGTCAGATTTACCATTCTCTTGTTACACCTAATCGAAATTAAGATCAAAACGGCTTAAAAAAGGTAAGCAAATGGAACGGCGGTCAT